GAGGAGTGGCTGGTGGGTTTGAACCGCCAGCCGTCTGGTTAGCAGGCAAGTGTCTTAGCCACTATGCTACCAGAGCTCCTACTTTCTGATAATAGTGCTTGGAAATGAGCCCCTTAGATTGGAAGACATTCAAAATGCGACTGGGAAAGAACTGCCTCCCCAAAGCAGAGTTGACCTTAATGATGTGAATGAAGTAAAGCTTTCAGGATCTTCATTTACTAATGGGGCACGACTCAAAATGGGAAGAAACAGATGCAAACATCCATTAATAATTGTAAACTAAATTGTATGAAGTATGAATCTAAATATTGTAAGTTGCCAAAAATGAAATGGAATGGATAAAGATCAAGATCCTACGCATTAGTAAGCTGAAATGGACAGGTATTGGTCATTTTGATTCAGACAATAATGATCTACCATGACAGGAATGACAAACTGAAGAAAAATGGTGTACTTACCATTACAAAGAACATCTCAAGATCTATCCTAAAGTATAATGCTGTCAGTGATAAGGTAATATTCCTACCCCTACAAGGAAGACCAGTTAATACTATTATTATTCAAATTCACACACCAACCACTAAAGTCAGAGATGAAGAAACTGAAGATTTTTACCAACTTCTACAGTCTGAAATTAGCCAAACATGCAATCAAGATTTATTGATGATTACTGGTATTTGGAATGCAAAAATTGGAAACAAAGAAAAATCATCGGTAGTTGAGAAATATGGCTTTGGTGATAGAAATGATGCCAGAGATCGTATGATAGAATTTTGCAAGACCAAGGACTTATTCATTGCAAATACCTTTTTTTCAGCAACATAAATGGCAGCTATCCATGTGGACCTCACCATAGAATTCACAGGAATCAGATTGACTACATCTGTGGAAAAAGGTGATGGAGAAGCTCAATATCTTCAGTCAAAACAAGGCCAGGAGCTCATGGTGGAAGAGACCATCAATTGCTTATATGCAAGTTCAAGTTGAAGCTGAAGAAAATTAAAGTAAGTTCACAAGAGACTAAATACACCCTTGATCATATCCCACCTGAATGTAGAGATCATCTGAAGAGCAGATTTGAAGCAATGAACACCCATGACTGAAGACTTGTAGGATGACATCAAGAATATCAAACATGAAGAAAGCAAAAGGTCATCAAAAAGACAGGAAAGGTAGAAATGACCAAAATGGATATCAGAAGAGACTCTGAAACTTGTTGTTGAATGAAGAGTAGCTAAAGGAAGTGGAAGAAACACTGAAATAAAAAAACTGAATGGAAGATTTCAAAAGCAGCTCAAGAAAACAAAGTAAAGTGTTAATAATTAAATGTGCAAAGACCTGGAGTTAGAAACCAAAAGAGAAAAGCATGCTTGGCACTTCTCAAGCTGAAAGAATTGAAAAAATTCAAGCTTTGAGTTGTAATATTGAAAGATTCTATGGGCAAAATACTGAACAATGCAGAAAGCATCAAAAGAAGATGGAAGGAATAGAGTCACCGTTTCTTTTCTTTTTTTGAATTTTTTTTCTTATTATTATTTACTTATTTTTTATTGTGATTTGGGTGAATATTGCAGAGAAAATTCACATATACAGCAGTTCACATATACTTTGTCTCATGTCATTCACCACAGTTTACCACAATGCAACAGCTCCCCTCTCCCACTTCCTCCCCATAGTTACCTCTTCCCAGTGTCCATCCCTCCATACACTCCAGCCCACTGAGCTGTCTCCCTGTGCATAAGCAGCCCTTCCTTCTCCCATGATTGTTCTCTCCAAGAAGTGTATCTACTTGAGGTAAATGTTCAACTCCTATGCTTGTATTTTGTTTGGCTGGAAACCACAGGTGTGGGTTCAATTCCAGACCTGAAGGGCAGCTAGGGGCCATAGTCTCAGTGGTTCCACCAGG